CACTGCCCAACTCAGTACTCAGCTGGAGAACACTGGCAGAATAGATGACACCTGGCTAACCTGTAACAGAAAGAGAAGATTCCGGCGTGGTTCGTCCACCCGAGGGCACTCCGACGATCAAGCCAGTATATCTCTCAAAGATAATCAATAATGCTAAACTCAATGCTCAAAGCATAAAATTGCGTACCTTAGACCCACGGGGGTGCCTCTCTTTTATAGTTACCTCAATCCTAATCTCAATAAAAGCCTGACTTCTATGGATTCCTGTTCAGTACTTACTTTGGATTCCTTCAGAGATAAAGATAAACTCCCTAAGAGTTTTATCCTTATCTTGGCTAAGTCTCCTCTTTATTCTAGAACTCTTGTCCCTTATCTTTTATCCGATTATCTCGAATTCGGATATTTTCAAAAATAACCTCGGCTTACTCGAGATAACCTTGGCGTCATGACCCTGACACGTGGTACCTCGACTGACACGTCGACGTCACCTTGCCACGTGTCGGTACTCAAAAATATCTCCCCACAGTAACCACAAAAAAATTTGCTTGCACATATAATCATTAAAATTATAAACAAAACAATTTAATGAAACAAAATTAGGATATAAAAATTAGGAAAAAATTATTCAATTAAAACTGATAAAAATCTAAGTAAAAAAAGTATGACAAAATTATTTATTTAACTGAAATCTAATAGATAAAGAAAGTAAATAAAAAAAATTTAAGGCCCATATATTGTATGTATTGTTCTTCTTGAGCCCAAACATTTTTTTTAAATATATTTTTTCATTTTAATAAATATGGGTCAAACTACATTTATAAATAAATATGGGTTAAACCATACATGACCCAATAAAATATTTTGGAACCCTTTAAATTGATCCTAAAAAAATAAATAATTTAATTAAAAAAAATCATTGGACCTATAACTAAATTTAGAAATATTTTTTTTGAGCCAAAATTTTGAAATTTAAGGCATAAACTTTACGGCCTTAGACGAGGACGGGTCCTACATATCAACAGCATATTCCAAACAGAAACTAGTTAATCTTTCCCAATACCAGTGTGAACGCGTTAGATGTCACTCCACTATACCCATGCCCCCACCTAAAGCCAAAGAATATAATAATACTATACAAAATTGTTTCATATTACAATTTATTTATTTATTTTAATTAATTAATGCTATTTATTATTTTAAAATTAAATGTTCATTAACTGATATTTAATTTCAAAAATGCTATTGTGACATCATTTGGCAAGAAATTTTATATAGAAATTTTGTAAAAATTGAGAATTTTTCAATAGTTCTAGAATACTATATGACATTATTTACATAGTGTGACATATTAATTCACTTTTATTAGATGATTGAGAGATAAAAAACTCTAAATGAATTACAAAATTTTCAATCAAATACTCATATGCATGTGGAGCCCACCTTGTGCTACAGATAAAAAGAGTTATGTTAGGAATATAAAAAAAAAAAAATCTATCAAACACTTGTATGGGTGTGGTGTTTTGTGAAATTTTTGATAAAATATTTAAGATCTTTAACAATTTTACATGTAAAATGTGGGGAGATTAAAAATAAAATATTAAATTTTTATATTAATTTTTTGGGTAAATTACAAATACACTCCCTGAGGTTTATTTAAAATACAGATTGCCCTTTATGGTTTAAAAAATTACAAATACCTCTTATTAGAATTTTTATGTAACAAAATTAACTAAAAAAAATAAAATTCATATTTGTTCTCTTATACAACAATAAAATTACCTAAATTATTAATTGAAACATATTTTTAACATCATTAAAAACTATTAATTGACTTGATGATTTATTAATAAAATTGATGATTTGTTATGAAATTAGAAACTTCAGAGGGTGAAACTGTGATACCCCTGTTCTGTATTATGCTAAATTGGTCCTTAATTTGTCTATGGTTATGTGTTTAGCATGATTTTGTGTGCCATTATGTGATAATATGTGATTTTGAATTCGTATCTGTTCACCGTAGAAATATCTGTTTGAATAATCCGCTTCGGGAATTAAATTGAGGGCCTTATCGGCCATAGAACCCGAAATTGATTACGCCACTGTGATTGGCATAATTTTTAGAGCCTACGGTGAAATTTAATTGAAAATTGATCCTGGTCAATTTAAACTGATTAAATTGATAAATTAAGTGCCCAATTGTTTTATTATAAAATAATGTTGAATGGGTGCTTATTAAGGGTCAACTACACCCTCATTTCTCTCCTTTAAGCTTCATTTGGCTGATGAAAAACTCTTAGACTTGAGAGAGGGTCGGCTAAGAGAGAGAGGGTGAAGGAAATTGAGATTTTGGTCCTAAAGCTTGGTGAACTTGGAGGCTATAAACTTACCTTAAATTGTAAGGATTAAGCTTCTAGGTAAGCCATTGACTCTTGAATTCATGAATTGAATGTGTAATCTTGTGAGCTCAAGTATGTGTAATCTTGTGAGCTCAAGTATTTTTCTTGGGATTAAGAGTATGATTTAAATTGGTCTTGATGAGATATGACCATGCATGCATAAAGCTTCTGTCGAATTGCCATAAGTTGCATAATCTGGCATGTATCAAGTCAATTAAGCAAAAATTGAAGTTTGGTCATGCATGCAAGCTTGGTTTTGTTGAGTTTTGGCACCATTTGCATCTTTGAAATGGAAATGAAGTCAAGATGGCCTTGCATGTTCGAATAATTAAAGATATGAGCTTGAATGCATGAATTTGTTATATTGGTGATGCGTTTGTCATGTTTTGGGACATGCATGTAGGTAAATCAAGAAATTGAACTTCATAATGTTATAATCTTGCAAGGGAACCATGTTAGTATGATTATATTTGAGATTTGAGCCTTTGCATGCAAGAATGGTAGCTGGGAAATTGAATTGAAGCTCAAGAACACAATCTGGAATTTCCAGAATTTTGACTTCCGCTCGAGTGGGGAAGTGCCGCTCGAGCGGAGAAATCGAGCTCCCAGCATTTTTTTGCAGACATGGTTCCCGCTCGAGCGGGGGAATTTGACGCTCGAGCGGGGAGCTGTGTAGACAAGCAGTACGCTCGAGCGGCCGAGTTCACGCTCGAGCTGGAATTGAAGGCAACCAGTACTTTTACAGACCTAAGGGTCCGCTCGAGCGGGGAAGTCCACGCTCGAGCGGGGACCCTATTTTCTGAATTCTTGTTTCTGCATTTTGTGTTCTGTCTTCCGTTCTCTTTCACTTGCAAACACTCTTAGGCATATGTTAAGCATTATTAATGAGTTAATGAGGTAATAATAAAGCCTAAAGAGGAATATGTGAATTAAAGAACGGATTGAACTGTTAGTGACCCTTTTGTATTCATGAAATGTGTAGGGTCAAGCTCCAGGGCAAATTCACAAGCCGACCACTGTGAGTAATATCGATATTTGAATGCTTGTGAATATCCAATTGTTTACTCTCTTTTAAGCTTTATGAATTGCTAATTGGGGTTGTGGACGTAAGTCTGATATGAATGCATAAATGGACCCAAGGTCGTTTCGATAAGTATAAATGGACCCAAGGTCATTTTGATGAACATGAATGGGCCAAAGGCCGTTTTGAAATGAATGAGTGGGCCGAAGGCCGTTTTGAAATGAATGAGTAGGCCAAAGGCCATTTTGAAATGAATGAGTGGGCCAAAGGCCGTTTTGAAATGAATGAGTGGGCCGAAGGCCGTTTTGAAATGAATGAGTGGGCCAAAGGCTGTTTTGAAATGAATGAGCGGGCCAAAGGCCGTTTTGGAATGAATGATTGGGCCAAAGGCCGTTTTGATATAATCAACTGGGCCGAAGGCCGTTTCGTAATGAATGTAAAGTTGAATGAGCAAAAGGCCAGTGTGTGCGGGATTATGGTTACTTGATTTAAATAACCCTTATATATGTTAACTACAGATATGAATTGGGCCCTAGGCCGTTTGGAAAACGTTGTTCTACGTCTTGTCGCTTAAATTCTGTAATTGATATTATTCACTGGGCTATCGCTCACGCTCATTCATGTCTTTGTAGGTGAGCCAAGAGAGGTCCAGACCCAGCCTCAGTGAAGCCTGTGTAGAACAACCCAGATTTTGGGGAGTCAGCCCTCGTGTCTCACGCATGAGACCTGTCTTTGCCTTTTGTTATCTATTTTATGTTGTCATGATGGCGAAGACTTTGTGTAATTCTGTACATAGTTTTGATGGGTTGACTTGGACTTATATGATCCTGTTTATACAGAACTCATGCTACTATTTTACTGTTGTGAGTTATTAATGCCTATGTATATGGTTGCTTTGACGTGCCATGTAAGCACAGCTCTGTGGACAAAGTTTTAAATTTTTACTTCCGTTTTGGCCCCCATTAACTCTGTTAAAATACGTTTGGATCAGTTACAGGCTGTAGGTAATCTCATGATTACTGGTCGGTTACGTCCTTAACCCACGGGGGCGGGTTAAGGTCGTGACAGAAATGTAATTTTCAAAGGCTTCGTTTGGGAAGTGGGTTGACTTTTTGACTTTTTGACTTTTTATTTTTTTGGCTATTTTAGCCTGGGGCTAAAAGCCTAATTTGGGAAGAGCTTTTGACTTTTTTGTGAGAGAAAGAATGTAATGATTATAAGTTGAATGTGATGTTTTGTCTTATTGGACTAAAAAACCTAATTTGTTTTTTGTAGCTATTTTAACCAAAAAAACTCCAAACCTATCTTTCCAAATATAGGCAAAATTACAGTAAATGGTTCGTATTTAAATCAAATTTTAAGATATATTTATAATTTATCCTAACCTAAACATGCCGTTAGTATCTGTTGCCGTTAGTTTTTTTTATTTATTTAATATATATGACGTATTGAAGGGAATTCCATTTAATATTTTTTATTTTTCTTTATTACCTAACACATTAATTAATAAAATAAAATAATAAAATTTATAACATTTCACTTGCCTATAAATACCCCCACTGAGGAGTGTGTCCTCCACACGTCTCCATATCCATTATAACAAATACACACATATATCTTCTTTTTCTTCTTCTTACATGGCTTCTTCAACCCAAGCTCAAGCCCACCTCAATCAAACAAAAAATGGGACTCCTAACGTTGTTGATGATGTTGAGAGACAACAACAACCACACACCATGGAACCCCTTGAGCTCGAGGTCGTTGATTACTCGAAGCGAGCCCAGTGGCTCCGAGCAGCCGTATTAGGTGCAAATGATGGGCTGCTCTCGACCGCATCGCTGATGATGGGTGTCGGAGCGGTCCGAAAAGATATCAAGACCATGATCCTCACCGGGATCGCCGGAACAATCGGCGGAGCTTGTAGCATGGCCATCGGAGAGTTTGTCTCGGTGTACTCGCAGTACGATATAGAGATGAGTCAGATAAAGAGAGGGGGTGGGGAGAGAGAGATGAGTGAAAGTGAAATTGAGGAGATGAAGAAGCACTTGCCAAGTCCGTTGGCGGCAGCAGCGGCGTCAGCGGCGGCATTCGTGGTGGGGGCGGTGGTGCCGCTGTTGGCGGCGGCGTTTATTAAGGATTATTGGGTTAGGGTTGGGGTGGTGGTGGTGGCAGTGAGTTTAGCACTGCTAGGGTTTGGGGGGTTGAGTGCAGTGCTTGGGAGGGCACGTGTGGTGAAATCTTCACTTAGGATTCTGGTTGGAGGTTGGTTGGCCATGGGGATCACTTTTGGCTTAACCAAGTTGATTGGTTCTACTGGAATTTAAATTTTGAGAAGTAGTAGAGAAAATGGGTATTTGAAAATTAAATGTATGGATCAGATGTATTTTGTGTGAGATTAAATCTGTATCGTATACTTTATTTTCTCTTCTCAGTATGTAGTTTCTATTTTTTTTTTTTTTTTTTTTTAGGGTTTGGAAGCTTTTTGGTGTGGTTCTACTTTAATGATCTTCCTTTTATGTTCTTGTGAAGGTTCATAAAAAGGGCTTGCTTGGAAAAGAAGCAAGGTTGTAGATCGAAGCAAGGAGTTTTTTGTTTGTTTATGTTTGTTTTCATTATACTTTTCTTCCTTAATCTGCAGTTTAATGATTAATCTTCAATTACCAGAGTCTCTCTCTCTCTCTCAGAAGGTACTAGGTTGAATCCCATGTTGGAGCACACAAGAATAATGAACAAACTATGAACCAGCACCAGGAATAAATATGATTCCCACCCACAAATATAATATTTGGTTAAAATTTAAAAGCAAAACTTTGTTCTCCCATTATCAATAGGTTTATTTTTTGAAAGAACAACACCAAATTCAAAAAAAAAATAAGTTTACTTTTCAAAAAAATTTGAGTTTTTTTGTTTACTGTATTTTTTGTTTTTAGTGAATTTTTAAAAATATTTTAAGCAATCTATTTTTTTAAAAAAAAAATTAGATACACTTAATCTAAATACGTTTAAAAATATAATATTTGTGAAAAACTTACCAATAAGTTTTATATACAAAGTTCAAAACTCATTTAATCCCAAAACAAAACACTTGCGCCAATTAGTCTTATATATTTTTAATTGTTACCCAAAAAAATTTTTTTTTTTTAATTTACAACCGTTGTTACATCCCACTACTGTCGGACTTTTGTCAGACGGTCACCGGAGACTCGCCGGAATATTCAATATCATCGAGATGTTACCGGAGTATCGCCGAGAAGTCATCAGAGTATCGCCGAAAGTTCAAGTGAATTTTTAAAAATATTTTAAGCAATCTATTTTTTTTAAAAAAAAATTAGACACACTTAATCTAAATACGTTTAAAAATATAATATTTGTAAAAAACTTACCAATAAGTTTTATATACAAAGTTCAAAACTCATTTAATCCCAAAACAAAACACTTGCGCCAATTAGTCTTATATATTTTTAATTGTTACCCAAAAAAATTTTTTTTTTTTAATTTACAACCGTTGTTACATCCCACTACTGTCGGACTTTTGTCAGACGGTCACCGGAGACTCGCCGGAATATTCAATATCATCGAGATGTTACCGGAGTATCGCCGAGAAGTCATCAGAGTATCGCCGAAAGTTCACCGAAGTGTGCATAACGTCAATGGAAATCGTCGGAATGTCCAAAACGTTTACTGAACGTTAAGAATATCGTTGGAGACTCACCAAAATGTCCAGAATATTACCAAAAAAAAATAAATTGAGAAATTAGAGAGAAAAAAACATATCAAAATGTACTAAATATTAATAAACTAAAAGGGAAAAAAATGTAACAACAAAAAACAGTAACAATGGGAAAAAACATATGTTATTTTTTAATTTTTATAGGATTTAAGCAAATAATCTCCAATATTGATCAAATTAAAAAGTAAGTTTTGAAATTGTAAAATGTTACAGTTTCAAAGTAAAAATCTATTAAGCATTTATCTTTATTAATCAAACTGAAAAACATGTTATGAAACTGTAAAATTTTATAGTTCTAAAGAATGTTATGAAACTGTAAAATTTTACAATTTTCACTACTTATAACTAAAATTGAAAACAACTTATTTAGAACTTGAAAATTTTTTTCGTTAAAACAGGAAAGGAGAAGTGTATAGCAGAGAAAATGTAGAAAATTAAGAGATCAAAGGAGAGAGGCAAATATAGAGAAAGGATTGTACTCTAGCAACTATTTTTTGTTTAGATCTAGCAGGATCTGATGTAGATCTACTCATATCTGATGTAGATCAATATCAGATTTAAGTAGATCTACTTATCGTCATCGTTGAAAACATATTTTATTCACCGTCGGTGTCACGACCCGAACCCGCCCCTATGGATTTAGCATCGTAACCGGCCAGTAATCCGTGATAACCAAAAGCCTGCTTAACAGTGATGACAACAGTACAGAGTGAGGGGCTGGCGGAAGCCAACCAATAAATAAAAGATGTCCAATAAGCTGTGAAAATCTGAATGGAAAAAGACTTTTACAGACATAACCACATTCAACAATATATATATACACATATCAGATACACATAGCATACGGGTTAGGGACCTAATCCCTTTACCCTAACTATATAGTCAAGTCTTAAACAGTCGGAACATAACAGAGACAAAGGGGTGAATCTGAAACACCCCAAAAACAACCTTGGCTTGAGAAGACTCGGAACCTCGAAGTGAGGCCCAACTGTTGGCTGGACAAAACATAAGCTTAACTTGACGCTTCTAGCTTCGGTCCGGTTCCTAACCACCTACATACATATATAAACTGTGAGCTAAAACCCAGTGAATAACAAATGTATAAAGGGGTTAAGAATGAATGTCCCATCAGTAATTAAAACAGTCATTTGCATCAGTAGATCAGTTATTCAGTCAGTGGCTCATATTTCATGCCGTATCAGTCATTTAGAAATCATAGCAGTCATACGTGGTACATCAAGTAGCAAAACAGTACAATAGGTCTTAATAGACCGAACAATCAGTTGATTGCCATCGAAACAGTATACAGTATTGGTTCCAAACGTTGGAACTAACAGAGATCTCTGTAATAGTAGCAATAACAGTAACAGTACAGTAGCAGTAACAGTAACAGTAACAGTAAGTTGTTGCAGATGCCACGAGTACAGTTCATAAAATAGGACAAACATTCATTCAGTAAACAATGTCATTTCAAAAAGCAGTACAATCAATCGTTCAGAAAATAATTATAATTGAACATATCTTTACAACATTGTTACTCACAGATTACTGGGCTATAGGTAGGCTAATCAGCGTCCTCAGGTGCCAACCCTACACAGTAGCAGAACGAACACACACTAAATTACACACTTGGGATTAATAACTTAGCCCCTAACTTGATTTGGTGTGCTTTTATAACACTATCCTCATTAAGATGCTTTAAACCTGGCCTAGGAATGCCTAGGATGGAATAAGGACGCAAAAATGCACTTAACAACATTTTTCAAAATTTGTTAAAAACAGGGATCTCGTTTGAGCGTGGCTTTTCCCGCTCGAGCGGACATGCAGACAATGAAACTTCGCTCGAGCGTGACTTCCCTCGCTTGAGCGGACTGCAAACTCTTGAAAAGTACTGGTTGCACGTTATACACGCTCGATGGACGCTCGACCCACGCTCGAGCATGAGACTCAGACCCTCGCTCGAGCGCGGATAACCTCACTCGAGCGGACTGCAAAACACACGAACTTCTGGGCATATGCATTTCACGCTCGAACGGAAGTGCATGTACTCAAAGTGTACGCTCGAGCGTGAATTCCTTCGCTCAAGCGTGGATCAAAAATCTGGAATTTCCAGGTTGATCCCCAAGCACAAAACTCAACCTTAAAAGTTTCAAATTCGATTTTTTTGGGCCAAATTTCTGGAAAACACTAAGAAACTCATAATATAACACGTTTTAAAGATCATTTCTTAAAATCAAGCCCAAATATGTGACAATTAAACACACATTTTAATGTAAACTTGAAGAACAATGCAAGAACATAACATACATGAGTTCTTAAGAACTCTAATGCTCCAAAGCATAATCAAATGCAAGATTGAACTCAAAAACAAGGTGAATTCTTGGATCACAACTAAAATATGAACATGCATGTGTGAATCCCATGAAGACAACTTCAAAATTTCCTTGATATGGTCATACATGTATGGATGGACTCTCAAATCAACACTTTAAGCTAATTCTCGACTCTAATCACCAATTTTTCATGAACCATGCATGTAACAACATAAATTCACAATTAAGAGAATGAATTTCCTACCTTAAGTCTTAAACTCCAAGTGTAGAAGCCTAATCTCTCAAGTCTTCTTCAATTTCTCCCAAGTTCAAACAAGACTCTTGTTGAATTCAATTCCTCTTCCAACTCTCTCTCTCTCTCACGTTTTGGTCTTGAGGAAAGAAAAGATGATGTATCAAATGTGTGAATTAAGCCCCAAACAATGTTTTTAAAGGTGGCCCACTCAATGGCAAAAACGTAATTAACCTAGGTTCAATTAATTTAGCATTGTCTATTCTAATTTAATCATTCCAAATTGAATTTTAATTAAATCTACCATAAAATTCTAAAAATCCTAATTAGCATGTAACACCAATCAATTTCTGAATCGATTGTTGATAAGGCCTTCAATTCGCAGTTTGAAATTAAAACATGAACAGATCATTCAGTAACAAACAAATAGAAATACAATTAAGACAATACACTCATTTAATCAAATTGGAATTTCATCTTAATCAATTACTTATCATGCCTAAACATAAATTAATGCTAATCAGAAGGAAGGGTTGTAACAATCTTCCCTCCTTAAAAATAGTTTGGTTCTCCAAAATCGAATTATCTTCATTTTGGAAGAACACTGGATCCAGGGAGAACAATTCAGGATATCTTTTCATCATATCGTCTTCCCTTTTCCAAGTGGCATAAACGCCACCATGGTTTTGCCAATCCACTTTCACTAGCGGGATTTCCTTATTTCTCAACTTCTTGATTCGTCTGTTTACAGTCTGAATAGGCCGTTCTTCATAAGTATAATTATCACTCAATACCACACGGGTAGGCTCAATAACATAGAAGGGATCCCAAAGATAATCCCTCAACATTGAAATATGAAAGACATTATGCATGTGTTCCATTTCAGGGGGAAGCGCCACTTGATATGCCACTGGATTAATCTTTTCAATGATTTCATACGGCCCAACATATATCGGTGCTAGCTTACCCTTAGCCCCAAAACGAGTCTGTCCTTTCATTGGTGTCACTTTAACAAAAACATGATCACCCACTTCATATTCCCTGTCTCACCTTCGTACATCCGCATAACTTTTCTGTCGACTTTGTGTGGTTTTCAATCTCTGTTGAATCAGTTTCACCTTTTCTGTGGTCTCATGTACAATCTCGGGCCCAAGCAAAGGCCCATCTCCAACTTCTGCCCAGCAAATAGGAGATCGGCATTTTCTGCCATATAAAGCCTCGAAAGGCGCCATACCAATACTCGAATGAAAGCTATTGTTGTAGGCAAATTCAACCAAAAGTAAATGACTTTTCCAATTTCCTTAGAAATCAAGAACACACATACGCAGTAAGTCCTCTAGAGTCTAGATTGTTCTTTCTGATTGGTCATCTGT